GCAATATATCAGTCTTTAATAGATATTTCATGTCCCCATTCGTAATGTTCCTTAATAGTTGAAGGAGGAGAGATATTACAACTATCCCACCAAATCATGTTGACGTAGTCTGTTGCTTCGAGGTTGAGTTTTAAAGTGGTGAAGTTTCGAAGAGTTTTACCCGTAGAAAGTGATCGAGCTTTCAACAACCGGAGCAGCCCTAGTTCTCTGATATATCTTTTCTTATCCCCAATCATTGCAAGGATCAAATTTTTGGTATGAGCAAAAAACGAATGAGTTACTGGAAGCGAAAGAATGATTTTCGATGATCTATTGGGTTCACGACTTGCAGTAGAGAGATCGTGCTGTCGCTACTGCAAGTCGTGATAAAAATATCGTGAAGTTCTAATGGTTTCAAAACCTATCTTCTGACTGTCTACGAAATTTTTGCTGGCTTTGATTTTGAACCAGAGAAACATGTAACAATTCAAAAATAAAATTTATCAACTGATAATTTCACCAGTAGGTTTTTCTAAGTCGTAAAGTCAGAGAACTCGAATTGTTTTTGTCTTGAATGCGAAAGCGCACCCGGGTCATGAGCTGCTAAATCTTCTAAAACTGTACCTGACTTTATAGCAACAGAAATATCAAGTAATTAAACTCGACCCATGTTCAACACTCTTCTACTTGAGGAAGGAGGAATTCAATAAGTTCAAAGGGAACTAGTGGAAGTTTTTCATAGCATGCGAGTCTTTCCACGATTGGTTCATTGAAGAATTGTTTCACTGCTCTGTGGTAACACCAACCAAGTGATGATAGGTGACAAAGTTCATTCAAGTGTAGGAGACATATAGCCCACTGCATTATTCTGGAATGTGAAATTCGATCAAACGAATAACACAGTGTTCCAAACTAGTATTTAATACAGTTCCAGCTGTCTCTATCACAGCACGTCCTTCAAAAGGAATCTCATATGTAATCAAATGGAAAATTATGGTAGAAGTTACTTCTTTAGCAAGCTCTGTAGATGGAGAAACATGGCCAATATATTCTAATTTTGGTTCTTTTATGAGAGGATAATGGTCCTGTTTCCTAGTTCTTCGAAAAACCGTTGAATTAATTTCTTTAATTACCATCTTGTCTTTTCATCCATCAAATTATAGTAAGTGTTAAGTAGTATTTCCTTCATACAGAGACTCTGCAAACCATTTATGTTATTACGAGTTTTTCTTGTTCTTGTTTTGTTTCTGTCAACGACGGGAGAATTATCTTATCAGTTATCATGTATAGAGTTACAAGATACGGTACTAGGGTATCATCCCCTCCACTGTTCAAGTAGCGCGATTTAGCCAATTTCGGGGTACCGTGTTTTTAAGAATTCCTCAGTAACGATTGACAATTGGAGACCTTTGCCGAAATTTACGCCAACAGTTGACGAGATAATACGTAAGTACCCCATAATAGTTGCAATATGCACAGCATTTACAATTACCCAATATAGTCACATAATGTTTAATAATTAGTCATTGTTTAAAAAGCTTTGTAGCAAAAATTGGGAAACATAGCTATTTTTATAAAAAAATTTGTTTTTGATCTTTTTGAGCAAACAATCAATAATTTGGAATTACAGATTATAAACTTTTTTATGTTTCTTAAACCCAAAAACATTTCGACAGTAGTGAGTTTAGAAATTGTAAAAAACTGACTAAAAGCATCAAAAGTTCATCATTTTTAAAATTTCTGAGTGTGATGCGTGAACGAAAGATACAATTCTATTTGAATTTTTTTTTTTTTTTTTTTGTTTCGCTTAGCTAGGCGATAGGAAACCTTTCTGAGGTATAACAATAGAAATTTTTTTAATGTTTTTTCGGGCGGTCTTAATATATACTTTTCACTGCTTCATCTGTTTATATTTAAGTAGCTGTAAATTTCAATAATTTTTCTAAAGAAAAATAAACCGTTCAATGAGATATTCGTAATTCTAACTCGTATTACGCTTTTTACTACATACGAAATTTACCCAAGTCACGTAATAGCTTTTCGAGAAATTTAAATGATATATTTAGCTGAACAGTAAGCTTGTAAAATAGCTTCCGATATCAGATTTTCAAAGAGTATGTAACTAATTTGAAAAGAATGTAACGTACCGATAAATAGGAAAAAGAAATTTCTACAAATTTCTACAAATTTTTGCAAATAGTTTGACATTGTAAAAAGATTCTTATCTGCAGAAAATTGAGCGTTATATAGTTCTTATAAATTTAACATAAAAGAAGAGTCGTGTTCTTTAAAAGAAGAGAAGTATTATTCTTTAAGATATTTCCTACAAGTTTAAAAATTGGGATATTTACAGATAACCATTTAATCAGAACACACAAAAAAAAAAAATGTTATGATAAACAAATAGTACAGTACAAAGTCCGTAATCCGGACGTCCATTATCCGCAATGATCTATAATCCAGACCTCAAAGCCACAAACTTTACGCATGCGCGTAGAGAATGCGCATACATTACGCATGCGCGTAAAGAATGCCCATACATTACGCATGCGCGTAAAGAATGCACATACATTACGCATGCGCGCGTTGAAATGAAATGTTTAATAAAGTAAACAAATGAATATTAAGCTAGCTTTTTTTTGTAAAATTTGATACCTTTTAGATCATAATTGCTCTTTATTTCATAAGTCACGTTTCATATTTTTAATTGTATAATTTCTGCATGCCATCTTACCAGATTTAAATTGAGAATCTACAATCCGGAAAAACCCCTAATCCGGATTCGCCGAAGTCCCGAAGAGTCCGGATTACGGACTTTGTACTGTAGTAATAAAATATATAAACAGACATAATTTTGAGACACCAATGACTGGTGTCAAATACCCTATTTATTACAATAACAATCATAAATGCATTTTATATTGATAAAAAAACCATGTGTCCTTTTATGCACTTAAATTTTATCAGCGTGGACTTTTATCAGTGTGGTCTCATATCAGGATGGGCTTAGATCAGGGTGGGGTTTTATCTGTGTGGGGTTTTATCAGTGTGGTCTTATATCAGTGTGAACTTATATCACGGTGATGTTTTATCTGTGTGGGCTTTTATCAATGTATATTTTCATTAGTGTGGGTATTTTTCTTGTGTCTCGTGGGCAATTATCACGCTGTGGTTATTTGCGTGGGATTTTGTCTTGTGCGCCTTCATCCAGTGGGCCTTTATCTGGTCACTGTTCCCAACTTATGCGACATAATGCCTGTTAAATAAGCTTTTTTGAACGGCTAATCTTAAATTGAATTATAAATAGTTATCGATCCATTTAGTGATCTTCAGTTAAAGTGTTTTTAAGGTTTCTATTTCTTCTGTATTAACGAATAAATGTTCCTCATTTATAAAATTAAAGTCAATCGTAGCTTTATAGTTGCTTTTTTCGTAACTTTATAGTTGCTTGTTTTGGGGTCTTAATTCAAAATCTGAAACCAGACCGCGAGTTTTCCTTCCTTCCGAATTTTTATTGTTATTGCTATTGTAATTAGTATTTCAATTAAGATTCTGTATTACTTCCAAATAAGTCAGTTTCCAGAATAGAACTCTGATCGTGATAGTAGTTATTATTTTTTACCAAACAAAGGCCCATCTGTATCCACGATCATTAAACACCAGTAGTGCGACGCGGATTCGGATCCCGGTCAAGTGGCTGGATGCAGTGGGATTGCATTCTTTATCTCTACACGTAAAAACGAGGGAGGTTTTTTTTTATGAAGTCGTAATTGCACATTTTCAGACAGGTCTTTAATTAATTAGCCTAATGGCAACCAACTTATGCACATAAAGGGAACAGTTTAAAATGTGTGTTTGCTCCACTAGCGACACAGTAAGTTTTCATTTAGCCAATATGTAAAAGAAAAGCCAATCATCATAAAAATGAAGCATTTTTCAATCATTTGCTATATTTTGAGGACATGAATCTTCTATTCCAACGTAATGTATCATTTGATAGACCGTGAAAAAATGTTTCAATTAATACACTATAATTAGTTCAGTAACATAGTCTCACGATATCATTTCTTAGGGAAAAAGTCCCTAAATATAAGACATATAATGTTTACAAATGATATTCTATGATTATGAGAAAAAAATGTTCGAAATATGAGCAGTATTTTAATGATTTTTCAGTTCACACTTCACGCTTGTGAACTAATTGTCTGCTATTTAGTCTTAACCGACTTTTTTCTTTCTTATTTCTTGGTTAACTATGAAGTCTTCCCTTTCTTGGATTATATTGATATATTCGTTCGCCGTGATTACTTTGCCACCGTTCCTTTACCTTCTTTCGTTTCATCTGAGAGTTTTGGTTCTTTTATTTAGGTACTTTTATTGAAAGAAAACTTCATCTGCTTTAATGTATTTCTTCAATAATTGTATTTCATGTACCAGATAATAATTCATGTCCTTGTAAAAGGCCAAAAATGAGTTTCTGGTTCTGGGTTTCTGAATATCTTGAATCTAATATATCTACTAAATATGACATTTCTTAATATAGGCATGATGTTCTGAAAACCCAAGATTACGTATTCAGATTTCAAGCTATTATTCTCCAAATATCACAAACATAAAACTTTTGTCCAATTGCTGCATCATCAGCCTAGATCAGGAGTCGGCAACCTGCGGCTCGCGAACCACGTGCGGCTCTTTAGTTCCATACGCAAATATTATTTATTTTATCCAAAAAAAAGAGAAGAACTGAAGAAGAGCATCGAGAATTCTATCGGCATTGGACGCAGTCGTTCGCTTTCATATGCAGCTCAGATGGCCTTCCGAATTGTCTCATTTGCCTCGAAAAACTCGCACACAATAAGAAATCAAATTTAGAGAGACACTTCACTAAAAACATACTCAGTTTACTAGTAAATATCCAGCCGGCGAAGAACGAAAAAAAAACTGTCGACGAGCTCCAAATACAAAAACAGCAATCAAGTTCCATGTTAAGTAACTGAACGCAATCTACAAGTAATGTTAATATGGCAAACTTCGCGGTATCATTAGAAATTGCAAAAAAAAAAGGCAAACCATTCACAGATGGTGAGTATGTCAAATATTGCTTCATATGTGCATCTGAAGAACTGTTTCGTGATTTCAAAAACAAACCAGAAATCTGGAAAAAAATCAAAGATTTGCCACTATCCACTAAAAGAGTACCAGATAGAATAGAAAAAATGTCTTCAAATGTAACATATTTGCAGGTGGAAGATATTCAGCTTTCTTCTGCCTTATCACTTGCTATAGATGAGTCTTGCGACATAACAGACACGGCACAAGTTGCCCTTTATGTCAGGTGTATGTCTTCCCAAAATCCAAAAGAAGAACTTATAGCATTGCTATCGCTCTCAGGAAAAATAGAGGGGAAGATATAGCAATGCCGTGCAAAAATGCCTTGAAAACAATAAGATCGATTTAAATAAAATCCTTTCAATAGCAACTCATGGAGCCAGAAGTATGACAGGGAAAAATAAAGGGGCAACAATGATTCTTATTAGCAAAATAAACCACGAAATTCTTACGTTTCACTGCATAATACACCAGGAAGCGCTTTGTGCCCAAACATTTCCTGCCGAAATAGTTGAGGTCATGAATTTAGTAATCAAGACTGTTAAGAGCAGCTTGTCAAAAGCACTCTATTATCTCAGTTTAAAGAATTCTTAAGGAAAATGAAGACTCAGTATTCCGACCTCCTTCTTCACAATAAAGTGCGATGGTTTTTCAAATGAAAGGTGTTGAAACGTTCTGCTTTGTGCTTGAATGAAATAAATACATTCCTAAATGAAAAGGGCATTAATCACCTTGAATTAGAGAACGGCAAATGGTTGCAAAAATTTTACTTTATGGTGGATGTCACAGCGAAATTAAATGAGCTGAATCTAAAATTGCAAGAAAAGGGAAACCTCAACCTATGTTTTAGAAGAAGAATTGGTTTGTTTTGAAGAAAAATTAATTATTTTTGCAGAAGATATTCAGAGCGGTAAATTACTTCATTTTCGATTTCTAAAGCAATATCGCGATAAACCCTGTTGATACGAATTACTTCAGCACAGTTACAAAAAAATTAAAGATGAATTTGCTGACAGATTTGAGCAATTCAAAAACAACAAAACCACTCTAGCATTCATAGTAACTCCTCTCAACACAAATAGTAACGAAATCCACATTGAGCCATTTGGAATTGGTGCTGAATCTCTAGAAATGCAATTGATCGATTTAAAAGTAAAGCTTTGAGGAGTGGAAAATTTACAGAGTCTAAAAGCAAGTTGAAAGTGTTGGAGGTCCAGAAATGAATGTACGTAATGCAACAAAAGTGGACAGTTTTAAAAGAAATGCCGCGAGTTGAGGCACTTGTATTCGACGCATGCAATAGTCTTCCAGATTGCTACAGTGAGGTTGAAGAAGTTGGCATTTGGAGTGCTAACTATCTTCGGATCGACATATTCGTGCGATCAAGCGTTCTCTTGCATGAATATAATTAAAAGTACAGTAAGAAGTCGTGTTTGAAACTTAAAACAACCAATTATGAGCCAAATTTATCCAAACTTTCTAAAACAATGCAAAGGTAACGCTCCCATTGAATTTGTTTGCTCAATTGTTTTTTTTTTTTTTTTTTTTATTGAAGTACAAGTTAGTGTTGTAAGAAAATGTTTAAGTTCTTTAATTTTTTACTTAAATAGTAAGTAATTATCTAATAATGTCATACATATATTATCTAATTTGTAGTGAAAAACACTATTTATATATGAATAAATAGATATTTTTCTTATGAATAAATAGATATTTTTTTCTTATGAATAAATAGATTAGTTTTTGTTTATCAAAAAACTTTATTCATGCGAGTACTATTTATTGTTGGCAATAAAAACTTTAATGGCTCTTTAAAAACTTTGAAATTTTGTAAATTGTAATTTTTGACTTTTCCGACTCAAAAGGTTGCCGACCCCTGGCCTAGATGGATTACCAGAAAAATATTTCTCATCTTAATTCTTGCGATTTGGGACGGAGATTCAAGGTTATCATCACATGTTCAGATTTCCTCTTTTCAGAACATAAACAGATATCTAATAATTATATTTATGCCATTTACTCCCACGATGATGTTATTTCTAGAGCTAGAAATAATATTTTCGGAACGGTATTAAGGACATATTCATCGCAATACTCTACGTTATCAATGTTGAACTTTATCGAAGGATATTAAAAATATGTATGTTTGTAAACTGAGTCATTGAAAACGAAATTTTCCGAATAGTCGAACTCATATCTATTGAATCTATTAAATGATTTAAGGTGTGATTTGACTGACTACCAGTGCCTAGTAATAAAGCTATTGAGTACTGGTAATTTGACTCGTGTTCAAATCCCGTACATCAAGCTCACTGCATGGGTTTTTCGTAGTTTTTTCTGTATAACGTAATTTGAAACAGTTTAAAGCAACAGCCTCTTCGAAGACATAGCATACAACGCTGAGTGTTTTCGCTTAATAAATTAATCAATCAATGAGATTTTCATATGTTGGTCTCATTTTAGTTGTGCATGCGATGCTAAAACATTTTGCTATGCAAAATGCTTGATAAGTTGATAGATTATATCAAATTAACTTCCTTATTTCGATATCAGGTTTTGAGCAGTTTTCGTTACACGTGTATTCATATTATTTCAAAAGAGCTGTCATATTTTAAGAATAAAAAATTAATTCTAGTTTTAAAATTATAAACTGTTTTATTCTTTACTCAGATTAAAAGCCTAAAACTATTTTAACTGTAACTATAAAGCTGGTGATATAGTAACAGAAGAAAGACATAATGCTTTGTGTAATAATGTAAAATGACCTTTATATCATTTCTTGATTTAAATTGTCTCCTGTCAAAGTCAATTGATAATTACAATCAGAAAAACTTCATGTTTCTGTCTAAAGAAGAAAATTCGATAGATCGAAAGGACAGTCTTCTCTAGATGTTGAGGAATTAGCATTTTAAAATAATATTTATTCATGTTCTTTATGTTATTTATGATAATAATTAACACATGAATTTAATTGTGCGATATTTTAAAAATTTCTTTGAAAGTCTTTGCAAAACCTATACTGCTACTTTTAAAAGAATGTAATTATCTAATTGAATTTCTCAATTCTAACTTGCAGTTCCAATTGACATAAAATTTGGCAACCCAATCCCTAATAAATTTTTATTTTCTTAGAACCTTTAATACCACATTGTCTTGAGTTGTGCTTGTTGTAAGGGCGCCCGACCGCTACTCATCTTGGACATCCTCCTTTCCGTCTGCAAAGCGTTTAAACCCCTCATAAACACACTTTTTACTCACTGCTTCCTGACCGTAAACTTTCTCTAACATGTCATGTGTCTCCGTCGCCGTTTTGCCTAACTTGAAGCAAAACTTTATGTTTATGCGTTGCTCCGTGTCACACTGACACTCTTTCTCACAACTGCTCATAGCGTGCGCTTCCTCTTATCTGTCGTAAAATGGCCGTTAGATGGCTCTAGATGACATTTCTCTCACTGCGTCTGCGTGAGTGCAAGATCCTAACCGGCGCGGTTTTTTAATTATGAGGCCAATCACCGAACTTTTCGAACACACCTTGTGTATATGTATGTTTATATATTAATACATTAATTGCATATCACATTACAATGCGTATAAAATGAAAACATAATGTAAATTTAAGTTGCAGACAGAAAAAACTGCGACAGAAGTAGAATTCACGTTTTATTTACCTTGCATTATCACAGTCACAGTAGCTCAAAAATTAAAACGTTACAAAAAAATGAAGCTTGTTCGCGTATGGTTCTGTAAATTAGTTCAGATAATTACAAACAAAAAAAGAAGACGCTAGCTCCAGATTTCATTAAAGTGAAAGAGTAGAAAAGTTGCTGGAGAAGAAAGAGACATCAATCCAGTAGCTGTTGCTGTGAGATCGGCGTGTCCTGCAATAACAGGCAAATCGATTAGAAGCTTTTGAAGGGGGAAAGGGAAAAGAAAAAGAATAGGGAAAAAAAGGAAATGTTTTGAAAGTTTCGGATTACAATTTAACATTTCGAAAAATTCATTTAATACTTCATTAGGTTATATAAAGACATTTTATAAATAAGAAATACAAAATTATAAGCTTTAAAACGAATGGTAATCTTATCTTAGTATACAGATTGCGGTTTAATATCTTGGACAATTTTAAACTAAGCAGTTATGATAGGCCTACGCTTCAGACCTAATTTAGCGGAAATTAAAGCTATGGAATATAAATTCTTATATTTAATAAGTTGTTCAAACTGGAAACGCCAGACGGTAGGAAACGTTTGCTGGGATATTTTTTTCATTATGAATTACCTCCAAGCGGAAAGCTGTGCAATTTAGCAAAGACTCAATTTTTCAAGACATAATTGTATAATAATGCCACTGAATTGTTTGCGCAAGAAGTTAGAAACAAATGACTCTTTCAAATTGCAATGTTTCTTACTTTGTCAAGATAGAAAATCTATTTACTGAGAACAATAAACACTGCATGAGGTACTTAATTCAAAGATTTTGTTCTTGTTTTTTGAATAAAGAATGATTTATGCTGATAATATTTACTTGGGGTCTTTCGTAATGGAATTCGTAAATCTGGATAAATGTTGCACTAAATATATTTTAATTTACGTTTTTTATTATTATGAAAATTTTTCATTCTACCAATATATAGTAACATCAGAATCCAAGTTCAAATAAGAACATACCTACGCATTGTGATCCAATCTCTTATCCTTGTACTGGAAAAAATGGCTAGCAGCTATTGGATTCAGCTTTTACCAACTAAACTCTGCTAGTGAGATGACTCAGTTGTTCCATGTTGTGGGGGGACACTAACTAACCAACATCGACAGCAACGAAAGCGAAAGAGACTTTCAAAGGACAGAAGAGAAAACATAGGATCGCAGTAATAAAAGCTTCAAAAACTGAAAGATTCGAATAGAAGACATCAGATCATTATCCACAGCACATCCAAGATCCACATATATGAAATGCACCGTCAGAGGCTATCTTCTAGTATAACTTAAGAATTCGTGAACACTTCCATGACATTTTCTCATGTCGAAAGATGTACATAAACGCACAAGTATCGTTTCCTATAGTGATACTTTTGTAGCATTTGTTCAGGACTGAAATCTGTGTTTTCGTAGAACTTATGTAAACACATCAGGATATGAAAGTAGGTTACAAATCAGTGAAAGATGCATAGGTTACATGTTTCAGAGATCTGGAAAGCACTGTCTTGTATTCGAACCTAGGCAGTTACACAGAATAGAACTAAAAGGAAATGTAAAGAAAAAAATGTGAAAAAAATTGTAAATGATGTATAAAAAGGCTAGCAGTTATTGGATTCAGCTATTGGATGTATAAAAAGGTGAATAATGAGTGCTTAGAGAGAATATAGAACTATAAGTCATTATAGAATGTTAAATGATGTGCTGGAGTATAACGTCATTCATTTTTCATTTAAAGATCTCATAAAAATCATTCCGTTCATGAATTTGCAAGGAAATTTCAAATTTGTGAATTTCATATTACAAGTGTTCCCCGCCTTTCAACTGTCCATTTTTTTAGTATCCATTCCTTTGACCTTTTTCAAATGTTAACCAAAGACTATACATTTAATATGCAGTCCTTCTTTTAATATATTTCATCCCATTTCTAAGATAAAATATATACTTCTGCTAATTTTCCGAAAACTTCCTATGATAAATTTAAGGATGCACTTTTAGACAATTCTAATTGCATATATAAGTATTTATATCATTAGCTGGTGCCCATATCGCCGAGTGATGTGTACCTATACATACTTTTTTTCTCGAGTGAAAATGCATTTACACACCTAAACCGAAGACTATTTCTGTTTCCTAACAATGCTTTGGTCCCTGCCTGTCGAATAAGTGGGGAACGCTTGAATATATATTTCCGTTTTTACTGCTCTCTCTGACTTTCTTGTATATCTCTCTTCTTTTTTTTTTTCTTTTTGTGCCTTTTAAATTCCTCTATGCTTAAAAAGTGTTTTTTACGTTTAAATATAATAATTTTACGAAACAGAATTGAATAATTAATGAGGTTATTATGCAACCATAAAAATAAAAATGCTGATACAGCCAAGTGAGATCTACTTAGAGAACAAAAAGGGAAAAATAAATTGTACTTTTTCGAAATCAAAACCTTAAAAGTATCTTTTGATCAAACACGCATGACTACAAAAAAAGAAATTCTGCAACTCATTCGTAAATAAGAAGAAACCAAGACATGTTGTATCTAACACACTACGGCTTTAACAAATATAACAATGTATACGAATAAGAACTTTCAAAAAAATAAAGAACTAAATATAAAAGAGCAAAAATCTCCTCCCCGGAAAACTCAATGGTGACTTTGAATGAAATCTAACGGTACTCAACATGCTGTGTTCCAGGGGGTGGCCTGTACGTTTGGGGAACATTGATGGACGCATGTTCTTTTATATAGTCATCGAATCTGGCCTTTCTTGTGGTCTTAGGACTAAATCGTGGAACATTTTCCTTATCGTGGAAAGAAGTGGGGGATGGAGGAGGCCATTGAAGATCCTTCCTTCTAACTGGCGACTGAGAAGTGCTGAAAACTGTTCTGCGACTTAGAGGAGGGGAGGGAGAAGGATTCCACTGTATACGACGTCCAGTCATGGGTGACTGAGGGGTGTTCCGACCACTCCTCATTTCATCTTCAGGTTTTGGTGGGGGCCATATGCATCTCCTTCCAGTACCTGAAAAGAATCGAACATAATTAAACAGCTGTGTGATTTATATTTCACTGAAGTAAATTAGGAGTAATAACATTTCTGCAAGCTACCAGCTTAGGTTTGAGAAAAGTATTCTGCGGTAAGCAATGCCCTTCTAATTTATAGTTATTCAACTAATAATCTGATGGGCACATGTAGAACAGCTTCGCGCGCTTACATCCGAATCAATTTGATTAATTGTATCAGAACATAGCTGAAATTTTGCATGTGAAGTAAAAATATGGGATTTAAATTTGTTCCTTATCTGCTCCTTCTTTACCATTACCCTTATGGTAATAAAGTTTAGTTTCTTTTGTGTTATACTTTAATAAGAGGACTCCTCGACTTAGTATATAGTGTGCCATGCCAGATCATTAACAAAAAAATATATAAAACAGCATGACTTTTTCGCTACAAGACCTTGCATAACGAAGGTAGAAAAATTCGTTGAATACGTACAAATATCAAATATGCGGAAAAAATGACCGCATACTTTGACAAAGCAATGGAATTTAAGTTAACCAATAGTGAGCTCCAGGTGCTGAACAAGCGATTCAGTTTTCTTCCATTACACATTGAACACTGCCCTCTATTTTTAAATCTCAATAAATTTATTAATCAGCTTCATGACTCTAAGCTTCAGAACAGATATTTTCAGTAGAACAATGTTACTTGTGCCTCTCACATGAAAGCATATCCGAAATCAAAAGTTTTCTTGAAGACAAATTAATTTCAAAATTCTTGTACGCCGTTTTTGATTAATTCCAAATATATCTTAAACAATGCCGCCATACGATTTTCCTGATGTTGCTTTAAAAACGAAACCTGTTTGCACTGTAGTTGAACTCTTACCTACCTAATATTCAGTTCTAGTCTCTGTCACAACGGTAAATATTTTCAACATGTTTTGCAGCGTGAACGTGATTATCATAAATCAAATTTTATATTTATATTTGCATTTCTAAATAAGATAATGCCTTTGAGAGATTCGAATTCCATGATATTCTACTGAAACAACCATTATATAGAGAAATAATACATTTTTGACATTATTAGAATGATTATAGATATTTACAGGATACTGTATAGTTATTCGAAAACCTTTTGAGTGGTTTTTCATGAAGTTCATGTCTAATGCAACTTTATTTTCACCTGTGTAATCATTTAAAACGTATTAGGTTACGCCAAGCATGTAATCGGTCTACAGCATCTGAATATACGAAATGATGCCGTGCTTGTCAAAGTCTTGATTTTATAGACATTTGAATAACTCTACAGTCTACAATTTTAGTTCTACAGTCATCCTCATTTTGCCCATAAGTAATTCACATGACAGAATAGGAGAGAATAGAAAGAAAGTATGGTGGACACCTACTCTTCATCATTGATAATAAGGTATTATTCAATCATTCTACCCCCTTGAGAAACTGAAATGTTGCATGGATCATAAGGGTGTCACATTTATTAGGCATAGTCAATCAAAAGAAGGTCTAATACGTAATACATAGCTTTTCTTTGAAAAATATTCCATTCTAAATAAAATATAGTATTAATACAGTAAACCCTGTAAACGACGACTTCTGTTTTTTAAAAAAAATACAAGTGCTATACATAGGCTGTAACCTAACGTTCTATTTATGAAATTAAGAATTAATCAAAAATTGCGAATAATACAGAACATTAGCAAATTTAGGAAATATTTATCTTACATTTAATTTGCTGAAGTACCCTAAATAAATATTTTAAAATTTAAAAAAATTAAAAAAAACGGATTTTTAAGTAGAAAGAAATTAAACTAAATCATAAATTTTGTTTAGTAATTGCAGAAAGAGATATATTTCATTTTTTTTCCGACTTACATTTTTTTTTCAAAAGCGTATGAACTCCGCAAAATAGTAAATCAACCATTTTTCAATTATCAATCATCTATCATACCTTTCTGCTTATTTTAAATTTCTTGCGACAGACCACCCGCGTCTTCTAGTGACTTTAAATCATGATTATAGATTTAGTGCTTTTCTTTTCTGATTTGATCTAAAGTAACCTTAATTTGAAATTAATCACTTCAGATATAGGATTTAAAATTTTTAAAAAATCCCACCATACTCTGAAATTGCATACGTGCATTGAATTGTCAATTTCGATAAAATGTGACCAATTTCAATGAACTCAAAACCAACAATAAACTGTCTTGGTATCACGTAGATATTGATTTATGATACTTTACCAGCTACACGTACAGGAAATAAATTAATTATTATGCATGCTTTCGGAAATGCAATACTTCAAATAAAAATTGCTGTATTACAGCAAAGACCATGCGATACACTACATCTCACTAAACTAACAATAAGATTTAAGTTTTGTGAATGCATAAAAATTTTTCTACAAAAAAAAAAACAGCTTTTCTATTGGAGATAATTCTTCATTTCTGTAGTATTTTAAATATTTAGGAGGCTGATACCAAAATCATGCATTTATGTAGCTGCTTTAATGACAGTGGTCATTTAAATGATGGTCTTCGTCTTTTTAGACAGTAGTCGTCCTAGTAAAGAATTTTATAATTATTGCTACTGCTATTTAAATTATCAGAAACACTGATTAGGGGACACGTTAGGATTCACTGCATTTCTATGCAGTCCTTCAGTAATAATAGCAAAAGTGATCAAAATGATATTAATATTACTATTTAAATAGTTATAATGATATTTTATGGAAACAGTACTTTGAAAAGGAAGGGAAAAATCAAAAGCATAATCCTATTATGTTTGGAATGCAAATTGTTGAGTAATTTGTATCCATACTACTGTAAAATTACTATCAGCACTTCTGTCTTATCGAAACTGAAATCCATGAAGTCACCTCGTTTAGCTTTTGGGAAGTACTGGTTAGGATCTGTACCCAGGCAGTCTCAACCACGGGGGTATAAAAACAGACATCACAGAAGACCTGAGGCCTCTCGGGACAGAGTAAGGCTCGGCAGGGACAGTACTGGTACTACCTTGCCTGCCCTTGCTCTGTGGGGTCGCCACATTGTAGATTGGATTTTGTGTAGGGCGGCACTAATCTGAAAGGCCTATAGCCAGGGCAGAGTTGCCTCGCACTGCGAGTTGTAGTCTAATACCCTTTGGATAATAAAACTTCTTCCATCGGTCGGTAATTTCTACTTTGAAAAACATTGTACTATGTGAGTTATCCCTGCGACAAAGAAATTGTGACAACTCACAACAAATTTCAGATCAGTGAAAACATGATTGGTTGGTAAAACAAAAGTAGGTAGAACTTCCATACCTTGCTCTCGCACAGCTGCAGGATTAAATCCAGTCTTCGGCAATTCGGTTACTGTAGATTTCTGAAAGAAGAACGTATTTCAGTTAGGTTTAAGAACTATATCATCATTCTCTCTATATATACACATATATAAAGAGGTAGATAGAGAGAGCGAGAGAAAGAGTTATTTGTAATTACTATTAATATAACAATATGTAATTAAATAAAAACTGTGTTTCGCAATCTCTTTGAAAAGAATCACAAAGATCTTCTAACATTCAAGCAATTATATAATTAGGAACAAAATCAACAATCTTCAGTTTTTAGTATAGCTCAGTTCAGTTCATAGTATAGCTCAGTTTATACATAATTTTAATATGGCTCAATTCTATATGTGTATTTAATATTGTAAGTGACTTTAGAAGGCAGACTTATTCTTTGAGGTACTTTCAAAAAAGAGTAACCATTTGGTAATACAGAAAAAATCAAAAGTAATGAGATAAAGAAACTCTTTCTATTTTGAAAATTCGTACCTGCATTTGCTTTTCCGGATAAGTTACTACGGTACTGAGACACTTATTGCACTGGGATACAGGGTTTAGTATATACAAATAAACTAGTATGAAATCAATGCAAGGAATAAAGTTAGAAAGGATATGGTGTGAAATCAATGGAATGAAAATATATGAATGTGGTATGAAAATATATGAATGTGGTATGAAATCAATGAATTGTGTATATGAAATCAATGAATTGTGTGTATGAAATCAACGTAAGGAATTAAGTTAGGAAGGATGAAAGGAATGGTGTTATTACTATTTAAATATTAATATCAGTTAGCTAGGAATGAAGTTGTAGCTGTAGGCTGGGTTCTCCAAATCTCCTGACAAAATCCTCATTCACATTATCACAGAAGCAGCTATTGTGTTGATGCGGTGGTAGGAGCAGGGAGTTGTTGAGATAGAGATGTTACAGATCAGTCTTCTGGTGGAAAACTTGGACTGCCTATCATTGCCATGGAGGCATATTTTGAGTTGCAGCTCGAAGTAAACATTTCCAAAATAAAAATGCTTTTCGACCAATTACTTTCGTTCTTCTTCCATTATCAAAAACGAGTACTACTTTCCAGATCTGCTGGCTCGTGCTTTCCATATTGTCACCAAGATGTACGATGTACGTAATAATTTGTAGTTTGTGCATAATTTCATAATAATAACAATTTCGTAATAATAATTAAACACCGAATTCAGTTTGAGATTCCTACCTTAGGGGGCCAGACAGACGCCACATTCCTCATGCCGGATGGTGAAGGTGGTGCAGGACTTCTAAACTGATCGTTCTGAGGCGGTGGTGGCCAGTGTGGCTTCGGAGGGGCGGCTGGAGGTGCTTTATACGTAATTGGAGTCCCAGATGTAGAATTGTGCTCGAAAATGTTTTCATTTATAATGTGCGCTTTAGGTTTCTAAAAAAGAAAAATTTCTGTATTCATATTGTGTATTTAGTTTTGTCAAATATATTTAATATTTTAAAATGGATTCTGGTGAAATATTCATGCATTCTCCTGTCTGCAACGGATTTGAAATTAAAGCTTTAATTCCGATGACGAAACATTATCGAACAAATCGAAGGATCGGATTATATGGGACCATCAGTAAAATTATATTTCTGGTGAACACTTATACATAATCAGTTATTCATAACAATACTAATAATAATTCATAACAAGTCATTAATTAGCAACAAGAACTGGCTTATGTGAATAAACTTGCAGAAGTATAGCTTCGAAAATAAATAGAACCTTCTTTTTTAATTATTGGTTTCTTCATATTTAGTCCTCTGACGTAATATTTAATAATACATTCATAAGCAATGGTTTATCTTTAAATAGAAGTTTTCTTTTGTAATGCTTTAATTCCATTTTTAATTAAATTATCGACCATTGTTTCTATACTCAGCGTTTTTATTTAAATTAATAGAGATCTTCATTTGAAATGCCAGTTATAAAAGCTTTGTCTTACTTGGTCGTCGTCGTAGAATGTCGTATAGGGCCCTTGGGACTAATCCCTTGCGAATAAGCTGGGACAAACCCTTGGGTCTAAGTTGCGAGACTTTAATTTTGTAAGCACGTCTTTGCGGTTTTATCTCAATCTGAATGATTACTAATGTACTGTTGTATAATGTGTACTATTTTAAGTATATGTTCTGCTGCAAAGTAATTTGAATATATGAAATAATGTAATAATTATGTAAATTATGTAATTATGTCTTGAGCCACAACGGCTACAATTGTACCTCCTAATGCTAGATATGTGGGGACGCGAGACAATACCACCTAACCTCTTGGTAGAATGATAGTATATCCATCTCCCATCAACTGTCAACTGTTTACTTTGACCAACATGATTAGTGCAGAAACGAATTATATTCGATTGTTTGCCGACATTGTATTTCCTGCATCATTTCTTTTCCTATACGTTTTAATAAATCTGAGTTTTCACTATCATGTTTAAAATCAATGAAACTCCCTAAGCTACATCACATTTATAAAAACTTATTATTAATTCCAGACTCTCTAATATGAAGTTACATCAGTTGTACTTTGAGTTCCAACTTCTAACATACAAAACAAAGACGAGATTATGAAGAAGGTGGCCCACCTGAAGGAAAACTTTATCTAAAGACGTAGAGTGTATTTATTAATTTAAAAAATTAACTTATGATTTCAGGCGATTGTGAAGCTATAAATTCGTCTCTACATGAAAAATAATAATGTGTCTATGACGTATAAGGACTGAATTATTTCCTATCGATCCTAGGGAAACTTCTAAATGGTTACTAACATATTTCCCCTTACTTCCATTAAAATAATATTCTTTTAACTAAAAAATGTAAATGTACTTATTTGTTTTATTTCACGTAGCCAATGTCCACTCTTATAGATTCAACAGTTAAACAGCAAGGAGAACGAAGGACTTCTTTGCACAATGCATCTGCTACCGAACACTGAAAATGACGAAAGTTAATTTGGTCATTTTCAATCCTGAAGCTGGTGAGGAAATTTCTAGCTAAACCTTCGAAACTAGTCCTGCAAATTTATACCGCTTAGGCTGATTCTTTTTGCTTTATTATCGCTAATATTTGTTCTTCGGCGTGTTACTTTAGTTAATATTAGAAGAAATTTATATAATCGCACTGTCAATTGAATGCTGCTCAAGGCTGTTGCCAACGGCAGGCGTAATCTGGCGCCCCTTGCCACGAGGATTTTCGTGGGCTTTGGCTGACTACGTCAGACAAGGGAGCATAAGCAACAACAACAACAACAGAAATTTATATAGAAGGTTAAATAATATTAAAGAGGTTTTCTTCAAATTTTGTGCTTTCGTACAGTCCAAAAACGTCATAGGCACACTGAGGATGTATTCTATGTTGTTAGTAACATTTTTGCTCAACGTACTTTATTCGGTAGCACAGGTTGTTAATCTTTAGGGTTTCTGATGATCAAGTACTGCAAGTGAATTTCTTGCAAAAAACGAGGATCAACCCCTCGTTGTTAATATCAATTGTAAAATACGAAACTGTTGCTTTGGAGTTACGTCAAAAACTCACCGTTGATTCATAATCATCGTAATTGTTCATGTACATCTGCTGTTGTTCATACTGCTGCTGCAGATGCTGCTCATATTGTTGCCTGTATACCGCCGCCATATCGCCGGAGTCTTGTTGCTTTGCTGAAGAACCGCGAGGAGGTGGTGGTGGGCCGACTAAAAAAGAATAAAGATTTAGGACGTTTGCATAATTTTGCACATACAGAAAAAAAGTCTTGTGGTTAGATTCTAGGTTATTCAGTAAGATAGAGAGAAACATAATATTTCGGATAATGGAATAGTTGCATATTTACAAATCATGTCATTAATCGAAGTCAACTTCATGCCCTACAATACACTTTTCTCATGTTTCTAGAAGCTTTTACATATCGTTCTCAATGAAATTATTAGGTTGGGATAATTCCACACTCCTCGCACATAACTAAATACAGACTACAATCGCGAATTGGCAGCATGTACCTCATAACTGTCAAACATTGCTAACATTGCTAACTGACAAACATTTATGTTGAATGCTATTCTTTTACCATAATATACATTTATATAATTATTTTAAAACTTAATTTATGTTTCACAATAACAAATTATATTATGTATATATACTACATACATGCATATATAAATCATGATTTTCTTATAACCGAAAATGTCTTAATTTTCAACTGATTTCGAAATATATTGCCCTCCTTTTTAATTTTTTTTTATCTCTTGATTCTGAATGCAAAAAAATCCAACTTACTTTTAAATACCGCTTTCGATACTGCAGTAGTTGGTTGTTCAGTCTTCTGGGGCTGGTAATTGCTTTGATGAGTTTGCGTCTGGTAATTGGTCTGGTGCTGAGTTCCCTGATGAGTTTGTCCTCTGCTTGGATTGCTTTGGCTTTGTTGATAATTAATTTGATTCAATGGCTGAAAAGTAGTAGTTGTGGGCGACTGATAACCGGGATACTGCTGCTGATTGCTCTGATTGATTTGCTGGTGTGTTTGTTGGTAAGTTTTCACGGACTGCTGATAACCGGGCGATTGCTGATAACTGTTGACTTGAGAGTGATAAACTTGTTGTTGATAGTTATCTGCAGATGGTGAGTGGTATCCTGGTGATTTCTGAAATGCGCTTGTCTGATAAGTGGTGGTCTGTTGGTACTGGACCGGGCGTTCTTGCTGGTATTGGTGCTGTTGGCTGACGACTCTTTGTGTAGTTTGGTATTCTACTCGACTTGTTTTCTGCTGATCTTGGTACACTTGCTGCTGTTGCTGTATCTGTCTATCTGAGTCGTAACCGTTGTAGAGGTATTCGCTCGATGGTGGTTTAGGTTTCGGTGGAGGTGGTGGCGGAGCGGTCTTCGGCTTGGTTACAGTGGCGCTATAGAAATAAGCAAGTTGTAAAGTATTTTTAATGGAAGTTCTTCATTTTATAGAACAATTAAAATTATTTTTTATGGTATTAGTAGGTTTGTATTAACCCATAAAATGAGTTTCTAGTAAGCGGTTGTTCAAGGACATTATATCATTATATACATTAGACACATACTAGTATCAAACATTACACTACCAAGCACCTTTTGTATAATATCTCAATCTATAAGGCGAATTTCATTGAATATATAACGATAATTAAAAAATGTATGATTAAATAATATTTAAATTAATAGAACAATACGATATAAGAGCAGAATCTACAATTTCTGTTATACTCAGATTCATGAAAAATATTCAGTACAGCACTGTACTGAAATGGAGTACACCAAAGGACTCCAACATCTTAAAACTCATAAGATCTTCGAATATGTGACTGTTACAAGAATTGGGATAACTTATTTATTTTACAAGCAATCACTTCCAATTTTTACAGCTGACTACATAATATAGCTGCTTTCTGAAATAGTAACCAGAAAGTTTGTGTTGCCACAAATATATTTATAATTTAATCCGCATTGTGACAAAATTTTTCGTCATGTTTCCAGTTTGCGCGCACAGTTTAAAACATTCTATTGCATAATTTATTTTCATATTTAATATATAGCTTTTATAACATTTGAAAACTACTGTGAAACCAAAATCCTAAGAATTTCATGTTAATTTTTTTATTATTTGGAGTTGTGTTTATCAAATATATTTTATTAAAAAATCTGTAATGTTTTCGTGCATAAATTTTTTTATATTAAAATATTCATCAGAGTTTTGGTTCAGTTAGAAAATAGTGCCTATATAAAGAATTCCGTCAAATTTCAAGTATGTACTATTATCCATTTTAAACTATCAAGCGCGCAAGGGGGAAACATGACGAAAACTTTTGTCACAAAGCGGATTAAATTACAAAAATATGTATGGCAACACAAACTTTCTGGTTACTATTCTCAAGCAGTTATATTATGTAGTCAGCTGTAAAATGTTGGAAGCAGTTGCTTTTAATATGAATAAAATATCCCAATTCTTGCAACAGTCACTTATTCGAATATCCCAATATATTAAGGGGTTTAAGGTGTATGAACCCCCTTAACGGAGGAAGAGTGACGGAGTTGAGTTTGTTTAGCTGAAATCGCATGACACATGACCTATCTACGATGGTTTGTTTCGGAGAACTAGGGAAACGGAAGACCTTGGAAGATATTTAAGGGAAATGAGCTCTTAATTTACGTTACACCCGGGGAAAACCATGGAAAAAACTCATTCCGGACTGGGGTGAGACCTTTGAGCTTTTACATGATCCTTTTCGAATAAGCCATCGGAATCCACCATTTCGTTTTCAAAAAACGTGGTGCGACTGAACACAGAGCTCGGTATATTATCCAGGTGTTCCTGGAAGAATAAAGTATTTAACATATGTAATGGTCAACTGTGTAATGTATATAATGGTCAACTTCGGATCGCACCTTTGTCGACATGTGTGATATGTTCTTGCGAGGACCACTGGAACACATTAACCCTCTCTTAGGACCTTCCATTAGTTAAAATCTATTGACATCAAAGTATGGAATTTGATGCTACAAGTATCTTAACAAGTATACTAACAACATGAAGGCTTTTGGTGTGACTGATATAATTTGTACGTGGGCATGTATGGCTAGTAATGGGACTAGTTACATGAATTCCTTGCCTGGGCACGGGGAAGGAGAATACTTCAGGGCAAGACATTTTTATTAATGCGCGTCTTTTTTATTTTTGGTAGTACCTTAAGTCATATTTACATATCTCAGGAATTCTGTCTCACATTCTTTTTATAGGGCTGTATTAATGATATAAAGTATCACTGCATCAAAAAGTATTTAAATTTACCGCACAGTTTTTTACCTCAGTTTAGTTTATTTTACCTTTGGTCACATTTTTGCCTTTATATACTTTAGAATTCGTATCATATTACAAATTTGAATCTATATATTTATTTATCTTAAAGAGGATAGAAGCCTTATGAAATATCCAAAGAACGATAAATGATTTTAAAATTAATAGATACAAATTTATTACATATTAATTAGTTTGATTTTACAGATAATTTCACTGCATATCATTCTAAGAAATATAAAGTTTGATTTGCTCAGGGAAACAGGAACACAGCCAAATCTCTCACACCCAAGATTATGTGCTTTTGCGTCTCTAGCCCTGTGGGAGCTAACCCTGTGCGGGAGTTAACCCTATTAAAATATATCTGCGTCTTGAGGAGAGTTTATATCTAGTCTTTCTGAGTACTTAATTGAAAAAGAAGAGGAATGTAAGACACTTAAATTTCTACGCTTGGGATGTTCTTGGTCAAGCATGGGACAATAGGATGGAATAAAATATTTTCATAAAACTCCGTTTATATAATGATCTTGCATTTGGAAATTTAGTTCAAACGGATAGATCTTGCATTTGGAAATTAATACTGCACTGCAGTCTTATTTCGTGAACTGGAAATGGATGTGTTCTTAATTTCTACGATAACGGAGAAAATACTCGTATTATTAGAACATAACGCCCACATTTCATTTTAGTAATTGTCGCCTCCTCAAGAAAAAAAAAGGAAAGATGACAAATTAAACTCACTGAGAACTCTAGATCTTAAGATAGGTGATAAAGAAAGAAATATTGTCGTTTCTAGAGAAATACTTGAGTCATTCCCAAGCACTTCCTGATTGTTTCCTTAAATAAACTTTGTTCTGTTTCAATTTTTGTGTGTGTGGGGAGAGGGTTAAATATGGCTTGGCATGTGCAAAGGCACGTGCACGTGCTTTGTTGCAAAAGCAAAATGTAATATTCTTAAATTTTCAAATGATAATAAAACGTTAAAGCATGTTTTAAATTTTCTTATCAACTCAAGTGGAAAATTGCTCTTAATTGCACATTGAAGCGAAACTTACTCTAAAACTGGAAAAAAATTAATTTTATTCTGGCATACATTATATCACTATGATTCTGAGCATATGTAAAGCTTACAGCTAATAATTAAATTATTAAGGGTCATTAATGAAATTAAGATCTAGCTATTAAAAATATTTGCATTGCAATGAAAGCTTTGTGTACACATGTAATCAAACCATTAGAAGATTTGAAATCAAATCAGTAAGGGAAAAACAATCAGTAATTTCAGGTAAGTGAATTTCAACCAAATTATTAAGAAAAGTATGATGAAATCATTAAAAGATTCTGATGTGACCCCATCTTTCTAAAAAATCTTACGTGCTATGGCTGGGGCTTATTTCACGACAGTCATAAATTTATATGGAATTTAGCACAACTTGTTCCTTAGCTCTCTTCTCAAAATATATTTGCGTCTTGAGGAGGAACGTTCCTATCAAACCAGAATCTATATCTGAAGTGATTAATGTCCAATAATTCTTTAAGTTTTATTTCATCAAATATTGAAGTGATATTAATTGATACTACAATCAGTGATTATTCTTACTGATAATTTTCAAGTCATAAAATTTCGTTAATTGAGCACTGTGAAATTGCACTTTTCGTTTGATAAATATAAAACAGTATCTGAAATCTTATGAGCCATTTTTAATTGCATATTTTAATTAAGCTTATATTTTTATAGTTATTATTAGAAACAAACGTTCAGTGTATCAGAATCAACATAAATAAGCACGAAATTTATTGCTGCCTGCAGTTTCATTCAAACTTAGACCAATTTTATAAAATCGTATAATAAGTTCTAACGAAACTAACGGCAGTGATAATCTGATGCTAAATTTTGCTTTGAACTTTTTCATTTGTTTAGTATTAAAGTGAACAAAATTTTGTTCTAGTGTTTTATTTACTTATAACTGACATTTTGAGCTAATTTTTACGCTTTTCATATTATAATGGGAATTTGGACTTTAATTTAATATCTCATTTCTCTAATTTGTGACATTACACCATTACAGATGATTTTAAAAGATAAAATGAAGGTAGTATACCACAGCGATTGCATTTCTGTTTGATACAAATATCAGCATAATGCGATTATATGTTTTATATGCGACGTTTTTACAAATTTACAAATGAAACCTCGTGGGCTAGATTCACCTTGAGTAATTATTTTGTAGCTTATTTTATTTTCAATAAAACGTTTGCTGGATTAAGAGAGAGAAATATGGCTACGTATTTAAACCCATAATGTGATGATCTTATTTATGTCTATGGGAAGTGAGGCAGTGAGTGCTATTGGAATTAGTGGCGTACTATGCTTTTCCCTGATGAGGACTAGGCAGGAAGAAAACTTTTAATCATCTCTACCATAAATAACCCAATACGCAAGGAGGAAAAAGTTTTATCCTTTCTAAGACGACCAACCCTTACTTATGCGGGTGGTCGCCAATGAGCATTTATTATGGGAACTTGTATTTATTTATGTATTTCGCACTAATATTCATTTATTTTATCAGGAAAATTGGGCATTTTCAGAAGTGGTAACCTTAGGGAGATGTCATTATAGTAGGGTTTACTATGTTTAGAATTAGTGCAATAGGGCATAATATCGGATTAAGAGGAAAACTCAGAATGATCATTCTGCAATAAACGAATCACGAAGAGCTCTTAATTTCATAGGTGCCACAGAACTTAAATATTTAATTTAAAATATTTTTATCTTAAAAGAACAAAATGCGAGCAAAACAGATCACTTCTCAGTTTGCATATCGTTAATCGTTTTAAAACTGGATATAATACTCTACTTTGTAAAGACAGTTATAATGTTTTACGCTTTTACAAATTTACAAATTAAACCTCGTGGACTAGATTCACCTTGAGTAACTATTTTGTATTTCCTTTGCACATATTGGGAGACTTTAAGGCTGTGATATTGACAGTTGATCAACTAGCGAGTTGTCATAAAATGGCTTCAAAGGTTGCTTACGCATTATCCGTAATGAGCTCTTTGTATATATGGTGTGTAGCTGTTGTTTAGATGATGTGTAGCTGTTTTATAGATCTCTTGTATATTTGATCCGTAATGATCTCTTGTATAGGCCATCAAAATTTCCATTTTTGGAACTATATTACATTTCGAAAATGAAACAATATTTTCAGTTGTCCAAAATTTAATTTTTTATTCTAAAATTGATAAATATTTAAACTCATATATCAACTTCCGTAATCATTCAGTAACTCAGTGTGATATTTTAAAGCTAATTAATTAATCGCATAAAATATTACCAACTCTTAGGAGATATGTTATTGTTTTCAATTTTGATAACACTGCGGTCGACATAAAAAGCCAATCTTGCCAGTGGCCAATGAAGAGTTTTGCCAATCATATTTACCATTTACGTTATAAAAGTGCGTTCCCAAAGAAAACATTGAAAAAGTCATCTTCTCTGAACCTTTTGATAAACACTTTGTCACAATTTTTATTTTGCGTCCTGAGTGCCATAAATAAAATCGTCTTAGTCCAAAATAAAATTTTAATTTATTTTAAAGTTGTATCTTACGTATTTTCGTATCTTACGTATTTTTAACTCTGTTAAAAGGAGATGTAATTTTTAATATGTGACATTTTTCTGTTTCAGCCAATTGGCGTTCAAAAGAGATATATAGAAATAAACGACGAAGTTTCTAAAACTGGAATTTTCTTTTGAATTGACTTTTTATGCAATGTGTGTATTCATAATAGGATCAAATAATGAGAACGAAACATTTTAGAAATATACAGATTGGGAATCTGCTGAATATGCTTCTTTCCTTTCAGTTTTACTTTTTAATACTTCTGTTATGTTTCTTTAACATTTATGTATTTTTCTTTTCTGTCAGTTTCAGCTTAGAAAATAAATTCAAAACGTTCGCCAGAATTTTTCAAATTGAAATTCATATTAAATTGCTTTCTTTTGTTATTTTCTCAACAGTAAAAATTTATTTCATGAACTGGTAGCTGTATTAAATTTATTTCATGAACTAGTAGTTTTTAATCTAAGAAGAAAAGCAAAGTATCTTCATGATTATTATTTTTAAAGTGTTTTTGAAATTTTTATCAATAAACTCTTCGTTGAGATATCAGATTGCAATTGGAAGTTTTCTGAATGTAATTTATTTTAGCTTTTGCTGTTTTTTAAGTATGATGAATCTCTTACCTCTGTTGACTGCCACGAGACTTTGATGCACCTTCTGCAAACAGAAAACAACTTAATTAGTAGGTAAATTAGTATAATTTTATTTTATTGATACACTCTTAAAGATATATTTTCATTAAAACTTCCAATATATACGAATGATTTCCAAGTGCGTATTAGGTAAGAAAATGCATTAGTACGCACAGAAAATAGGTCTTAATAACCACAGAAAATGTAAGTGAATATAAAGGAAGAAATAAATAAAAATATTTTTAAATAAATAAAAGAGACCCTCAAATAAAGGGGCTGCAATTGTTGATTTCTCATGATGCAAAAGTCACGCAGTGGAAACATACAAATTTCATATTATCTTTTTATTTTCTCATTATTCGCTTTGTACGTTTAAAGTGCCATGTAAATTGTGGCCAAAAATATCAATTGTAATAAAAATGGAACTTAATCAGCTTCGACTGCCAAGTTTCTTAGTCATTATGAATTTTACATTTTAAAATTCTAAGCAATAAGAATTCCTCCTCTTCAATATGCCATCTGCGTGCTGCGCAATCAACATTGCTATGTTTCTACGTCTCAGTGTTCTTACATCAGTACTTCTAAATTTTGCTTTTATTACATACATACATATATATATTTCATTAATTCCTTTTGTATTTAGCTATGAATCTTATAGTATAGTTTACGTTTAATTGAATGAATTCTAGAATGTATTATATTACAACATTTTTTGTACTTGTTTACAAATTTCATGCGTAATATTTTTAGGGCAGTGTAGCGATTTTTCGATTTTTTTTTTTTTTTTTTGGCATAATATACAAATTTTTATTTATTCCTTTGGAGTAATTAGAATTGTTTTACTTTGTTTTGGTAAAATTATTATGTAGGAGAGGCATTTCAAATTTTCACAGGTAAAATAATTTAAATAATTAATTTCAGTACTACAGTTAATTTGAAATTGATAAAAACATAACTAATTTTTCTAGGAAAAGGAGTGATATCATTGATGGATTCTCCCTCCTTGGAGAGTTTTGAGTCTGACAGTAATAATACTACTTTTTTCTTAATGTATTATTATTGTGTGCTTTTATTTTTTTCATAAATTACTTTAGCAGCTCAATCCAAATTAATATAACATATTAATTTGTAATATGCTACATTAACTTGTAATTTTACAGGATTTTTTTTTTAGCTTTCTATCATACTTTGCCTATTTCTCTTTAATTAGAAATTAGAAATAGTTACAATATAAAATCTTCTGTAATCTTATATGTAATTCGACTCTTCTGAGTTTGCAGCTTTTATTTACTGCAGTAAGATTCCTAAAACGTTAGAGTGCTTGGAACGTAAATGCTACTAATGTTTAGAAGTTATTGATCTTCTATATGTGTTAGAACAAATTAGTGATCAAAGATTATAATCTATCATTCTACAAAACAGAGTGATATACATATACCCTATCGTATAAAAACTGCACTTGATTTCTCATTCGTCATTCGCAATTTGAATTTAGAATTCTTTATTTTCACCAGAAACGCGTAACATGCAATATATTTTACATTACTCTGTCTATCAGATCTAGAATGTAATGTACTGTAGTGTGCAGAATATTTCATTATTACTTTATGTTAATAAAGTCTAATTTACATATTTATCAATGAAACATGCAGTAATTGTGCACTTCATTCGAATTTTCTGTTTTATGCAGCGTTGCTATTATTCTCGATGTCTTGGAATAGATTCACCGCGAACATTGCGACAATGATATATTTTATAATTTATTACAGATTTTAATTTTTTTTATATTTTAATGTTTTATATTTTTAGTGGTAAGCACATTTTACGTGTTATATTGAAATCTAAAGCTTCCAGATTTTAATATTTTTAATTTTCCCAATTTATATGCTGTATACCCAAAATGACATAATTTTATTTCGTGTTTTTCTTTTTACTTGAAGGACCTGTGTTAATCTCCTTCGAAATATATAAAGCTTATATTTAAAACTTGACCTCTATATAAGTTTTAATTTTTTAAAATTTTAAGTTATTACGTATAATAAAATGGTGTAACGCAAATCTTTAGAACGACAACATGCATTGCTGTTTCCCTTTGAAAGTTTTCTTCGAAAATATTCTGTCCCTTAAGTAGATAATCCTCGAATATTTCACCAAAATCATTAAACAAGCATAAAAAGGCAATGTATACAGTAGCACGAAATAAAGTCTAATTTAACATAGTTGATAAATATTTTACAATAGACTTTACATAATGATAAAGGTTCCTGGAAATTTTACTCTTCTAAGATATTTATGATATAAACTACAAAAGTAGATAAACAGTCTTAATGGTCTTACCTTGTTTAGCTTGTTCTTCTAATAACTGAAATACAGCAGATTTTTGTTTGAAACTTAAATTTTCTGGGCCTTCGTCTTCCCTATGTAAAAAATAAGTTATGTTATTATAAGAATTGGGCACTTTACGAAAGGTAAATGTATATTATAAATGTAATTTAAGTAGTTTTATTGATTTAAATAAATGTATGGATTATTATTTAATTTTTTAAGTTCCTTAAAATAATTTAATGTTTAGGTTTAGGCGCAGATAAAAATTGAGTGATGCCCATTACACATTCAAAAAACGGTTTCTAATGAAAAAGTACAAAATTATGAATCGCTAAAAGAAACATACTCTGAGACTTGCCCTTCTGTCAAAACCTCTGTCTGCTTAGCAAGGGTTTCCGCGATATTTTCTGTCGAGTACAGTGACAGAGGCGAGTTGTAAGGGTTGTGAACTACAGCTTTCACTACTGGAGGCTCCTGAAAACGAAAACAAAACTGACATTTTCTGACAAATACGAAATACATTTTCAGTGTATATTCAAAGTACTGAAAGAGAGTTCTACTATACGTAGTTTAAAGAATGATAAAACGATATTCACATTGGAAATTCAAAGCGAAATAAATAATAAAAAGAAATCAAACAATTTTCTACTAAGTACCATAGTTCTACCACTAATAACTTACTATTAACTAATAACGTACTTAATAACTATAACAAAATAGCTGTGCGAATGAAAGTACTGCCAAGTTCGCAAAATTTATTAAATGAATGTAGTATAATTAAATGTATTTAAAGTGATGTAAGTTTCATAAACTATTAAAACAAAATTAGGGGAATATCAAACCCTGATCGTCGATGACCTTCGCTTTGATGGTCATCCGTATGGGGCAGCGTAATGTTTCATGCAGTAGTAGCACATGTTAAAACATGTAAAAACCTAAATACATGTTGGTTTAACTTAATGCAAAGTAAAACACATAACGTAAGCTAAAGCTCCAAAAGTTCAGGAAAGACTTTACAAAGGACATATTTAATATCAAAATTTTGAGCGGGATCCAAGTGATGTTTTGCAATTCTGTGATGAAATTTATTGATGACTGATTGCAAGTGATGACAGCATTGTAGGAAATTAATCCTTAAACTGTAGATCTTTCCTGAAACTGGATTTATTTGCAGAGCTTTAGGAATTCTTATGATATTTCAAATTAAATTGTCGAGACATTAGGTAATTTTTTGGAAGCCGGTGAAATGAAAAATCAGCTAGCTATCTTGGGAAGTATTGAAATTTCGAGAAATACAAGATATCTTTTGTATTCCCTAAGCTCTCGACCACAATTCTCAAAGTTCCAAAGCATAGTCTCATAGTTTCTCTACTAGGTAAAACATAAAATCTTTAAATGATCTTTCAGATTTACTCAGTTTCTAAGTCCTTAACAAACTGAGTGATTTAGAAGCAATAAATGCATTTGTTAATACTTTAAATCCTCCTTATATTTAATGTGTCTGTTATATATAATCTTAGTAATATATGAGTGTCAGGATTATATAAGATCGTGAGAAACGGATTTAAAAGTGCTATTATTTAGTTTAATCATTCAAAAAGATTTTACGTATGTGTTTTTATTGCGCGCATTGGGAAGCTGCGTAAATTGCTTCGGTTTCTCAAATTTGAAGGGCTGAATATTTTCGTGCCACACATTTCAGATCAATATCTGGTACGATCTCATGAATAACAAGATATCAGGTCCTTTATAATTCTTTGAAATCCACCCGTGGTCACAATGGTTTATTAGAAAGGGACCTATCCTATGACCAACAGAAAGTTCTGATCTTACCCAGCTTCTTTTCTTGCGGATTATTACAGGGAGAAAATTTATAATCTTGGCTACCTCATGAAGACAGAATAAGAAAGAGCTATACCAGAACTTTTGCCAGAACATGGTTCAAAACTGAATACCACTATGAAGTCTGTAGTGCGCTAGTTAGTGGTGCACATATTGAGAGATATTAGTTTTATTCATAATATTTTTGAGTGACTGAATTGAATAAAAGTACTTTTAATCCACTTCACTTAACACTAGCATTTATTCTTACAGACGCTGAGTAATATGTCCATATAATTGTTTTGATTATATGGTTATCCATATGAACTATGGAGAGAGAGTAAATATTACTAGAACTACAGTTAGTGAGAAGCTGACTCACTAACTCTACCGGAAAGTCAGAATCAAGTTGTTGGCAACATAGAACGCAAAGCTGAATAATTTCAACTATCAGAGATGACAGGAAACTAACACGCCTAGAGTGCACGCGTTGCTAGAATCACGCACTGTCGTAAAATCCAAAAATCTTAGTTTAAATACTGGCTACTCATTTGCATTCTGGTGAGGAATACGGAAAGGAGAATTTGTACTAAAGGCTGAAATTAAAAATAGTTGGTTAATTGACACAAAATTCCTTGCAAACTTAATACGAAATTTTCCAGTTCCTGAGTTTTCACAGAGCTTATCTAGGGGAATCAGAAATACCTAAATATGAAGAATAAAAATTCTTAAGTATCGAAACTGGAGATACTTTTCCGAATCTTGAGATTTTCTGTAATAGAATGCTTAACCTAATTCACTCGAAATTGTCCATAGTATATTTTCTAAACAGCTACATATCAAATCACCCTAACAATATTGCTCATAGTTTGTAAGTCCCATATATTTTACTCGATTCTTAAATTGCAGAATGTAGCATTCAATGAATTCTAGGATCACTCGCAATCAGTTTAAAGGAACTTAAAATTAATTCATATATAAAGCCAAAAATGATTTTATTTCTGAATGTTAAAATAGTCTTCGAGGAACGAGACATTCGTAATAAACTCTTATTTTCCTTTGAAGCAATTACTGAAAATGTTTGGTCAATTTATTCCAAGAATCTCATTCCAAATATCAGAAACGTAAAGCATGCAAATGTCGTCATCTGAGATTTCATTTCCAAATAGTTCAGAATTTAGATGTTTCACTTTAAATAATATAATCCTTTCCGTATAAAGAGACTATATATAGTTAAATGACAGCTAACGAAGATATATAGAAACTGCTGTAATAGACAGATTTAAATGCAATTCTATAGTCACTGCTCCGGGAAAAGAGATTTATTAAATAAATACAAAGAAAAAAATAAAATTTTAGCGACCGGGTGTAAATGTAGCTGTAGAAAAATGAGAACTGTAAGACAGGCAGCAAGATTTTATTGCAAGTATAAAGTTACAAAGTTTTGTGCTCAAGATGAAATTCTTCATTGCTTCTCATATATAAGAATCGTAAATTCACTTTCTTAAACATCACACAAAGTACCGGAATTGATATAGTATTATTTACAAACATTTCTAATTGTCATACAGTTTATTACAAATTGATTAAATTTGAAGATTAAATTCAAGATTATATTTTATCGGATGGCAACATTCTAAGAACTAAAACTGTGATAGGGCATGTATAAAATAAATTAAAGACCTTACAACTAAATTTGTTAGATTCTCTCTCTTAACATTATAATTAATTATCGTACGATCTTGTCATTTTTATACAATTATGATTTTACCATATCATATTATCATTCCTATCATAAGGTTATCGTACGATGAAAGAATAACGATTCCAGTTATTATAATATTAATAACGATTTACATAAAATTATGCTGTGAGATCATAACAATATGTTGCACTATATTGAACTTCTGCTCTGACACGGAAAACACGCGTTTCTGAAGAATACAATCATTCTTACTTTAAATTAAGTTGTTTAATAAACCTGAGTAAATACTTTTGATTCCAGTGTCATGTACTTTTGAAGAATTTTTTAGTTACTTATTTTGATATAATTTTATTTGCAGAGAAACTACGGATTAGCTGAGAGCCAATGGATGCTAAGGCAGTTCCTCGTGCTTCAGACTGCTGCATGTTTCACGCAGAAATTCTTTCAGCACAAAAAGTGGCTCTGGATATTTCGGCATCACTGTGTTCTCGGGATGCTCTTTGGATATATTTTTCATATCAAATATGTGATTTTTTGTATTTTAGGATGCCTCTTATCTACACTGGAATGGGAGCTGAATTTCACAGTCGCATGTGCCACTTGTGATTAAACTGGTAATTCCTTCGTTCGCGGCAAAAATAATTGTTGTTAAGTATTATCGAAGAGATTCAGGCACCAGAATTTTAATGAGGTTTGCAAACGAACAATTACGTCATTATTACAGTTGCCTAATGTTTAACGCCTAATGTTTGTGAGAAAGAAACACAATCTTCAGGAATGGATAAGCCTACAATCAAACACGTTACTTGAAAACAGGATAAAACAGGTCCCAGAACGCAGGGGAATGAGACACGGGGTTACTCTCTCAGAATGATTTATTTTGCAAGCGTGTAACCATTCATTAATGTTACCAAGTATGTAACTCACTAATATCTTAATATTATGGAAGAGGGATAAATTCTTATAAAGGGCAAGAGCGGCCCAACCAAGCGTCGCTGATTGCCGTACCGAAGGACCCGGGTTCGAATCCCAGAGAAGGCATGGATGTTTGTAAATGTATACTGCTGGTGCTGCATGGCGGCACTATAAATATGAAAGTCCTCTCGTGTGGTTTGCTGGAAGAGGAGGCGAGTGAGAGACACTCGGACCTGTTCCCCGGGGTGCTCTTTAACAAAATTGGGGGGGGGACCTGATCTAAATCGCGTTGTCACCTGTATGGTGCTCAAGGCTGTTGCCAACGGCAGGCGTAATCTAGCGCTCCTTGCCACAAGAAATTTCGTGGATTTGAGCTGACATCAGACAAGTGAGCATAAGCAACAAACACAAACAAGTGAAGATTGAGAACAGGATAGAAACAGACTGAAAGAATTATTGTGCAGTTAAAGTTGCATTTAATCGAAATACCCAGATTTAATTTTTTTCAGAAAATATAAAAGCAAAAAAAAAAAAAAAAAAATATTTTTATATCATTGTCACCACGTCAGGATCGTCAGGAACTGTAAAATCATTGTTTCGAGGGGGGGGGAATTTTACATGGAGCATATATTTATAAATTCGAAAGAAATCGAGCGAGTAATTTTTGACTAAAATTCTATTAGTCATTTTTGGCTGAAATTCTAGGAAATCTCTAACAGTGACATAATCCTAATTTTAGTGTTTTAACGACGATATAAAGGGGAAAGAAATTTTTAAGAAACTACTTTAAAATGTACAAGTCAAGAATCTGATGCATTAAATTAAAGCGAATTTTTAATTTAATACTGAAAGCAAATGCAGATTTTTCAGTAACATTATGAAGTTTTTTCTTAGAATATTACAATAAGCATTCTCACCTTTCCTTTTCTTGGTGAAAGAAGATCTTCTCTGAAAAGAAAGAAATAAAGAAAAATAAATAAAAATACTCAGATATTGAAGACATAAAAATAAATTAAAATACTTAGATATTGAAGACATTAATATAAGATTAAAAGATGCATATTTAAAAATATTACTGAATACTGTAATATTTTACATTGCTCTATAATTCTTTATAATTTGCAATAATTGTACATTAGTATATCAATTCTCTTAGTTATAAAATGCTTAAAATCTTCACATTTGCTTTCACATTTGCTTTCGTCATAAAATAAATAAACTGTAAAACGATGGTTATGGAAATCGATATATCGCTGCAAATCACAAGGCATTTTTCAATGCCTTTCGAGCTATACATGTGCCTTCTGAAAATAATGAGACTAAGCCTTTTCATTCATAATAATATTCTGGTACCTATTTATGGCAATAAGATCATTAATAACATGTCTACCATATTCGCTAAGTTTATAGTTCTTTACGTCGCTGTGTCTAGTTTGTAGTTTGGTTTGTATAGTTTAATCTTATTTATAACTGCGTTGTTGTTACTAATCCCCTTGGGGCAGGAAAGCCTACACCAAGTCCAGGAGACCTTACCGCACAAGTGAATCGCTGACATCATACTGTTCAGCCGACATCTGTCTCAGGGAGACAGTAGGTGAGCGGGAGAGACATATGAGGGAAAGGTCCTTTCAATCCCCCGTTGAATTTCATGCATCGAAGATGCCCGAATCTGAGTCTGAACATGGCTGTTTGGAGAGATCTAGTTCTTTTACTCTCTAGTGACAGGCTTGGTTGCTCAGCTGCTCAGCGATATATCATTGGTGAGCAGAAGAAATTTTCCACGCCATGTTCGTTTTACTTTTTTAGTGGGAATGTATTTCAGATGGGCTTAAATCAATGGGAGTGGGGACAGGGACATCACAACCTTTCCTTGCAAAATCGTCACTTATTTCATTACCATGCAACCCAAAATGGGATGGTATCCACTGGAGATATCTTGATTGACGCTCTCCAAATTCAAAAACTTTAGGTATGATATTCTGATCGGTATTATCCATGATCTTAGGCGAGTTTTTAAGGTACTGAATTGAGCTTCTACTGTCAGAATCCATATAACGTCACTTGTCGAACACAGAGCATATAATCAAGTGCTTTGCTGATGGCAATTAGTTCCGATCTGAAAACGGAGCAATTTGTAACTGGTGTGTCGTTATAGCTATTATGTCTGCAATAACTAGAGTTACATATAATACTATGTTTAAAGTTTATAATACTGCGGGCCATGGTCTGCACAGCCTCCATATCTGCTTTCCTGACCATAGACCCCGGGTTGCATGAACGTATGTCCTGTGCGAGTGGTCAGCTTGTCTCAAGACTCCTGGTGTTTAGTCCCCAAGCGAAGTTGGTACTCGTTTTATCTACCCACTCAAGAGCTGAAGGGCTAAGTCAATCTTGCCCAGTCCGGGGATCGAGCGCCAGACCTGTGATGCTGCTGCGCTACGCGCTAACCACCGCACCACTGAATTTATATTTACTTTTACGTACTTTTAATATATAGTTATACTCTTACACCCAAAATAGTGTGATTTAAATATAGTGATATAAAATTTATCAGTATTTTGAATTTTAATTATTTAAGATGCAAAGCATCTTTAGTGAATATTTATTTTTTTTTTTAAACTATGGTCGTACTTTAAAAATCATATTTATGTAAAATTTGAAAACAATGTAAATTTGCAAATCACATCTGGTTTTAAACATACCTAAATGGATAATGTTAGTTTTTATTTGCTAAAAGATAAAATAGAATCCAATTAATTTAAATTTAAAAAATTACCTCAATTAATTTTTCAAATTTAATTTTTTCAAATTTATTTTTAATTTAAAAATTCGTTTAATAGCTTCTTTGAAATTGAAATCCATAATTTACTTTTTGACAAATTTATTTAGTCGTTTCTTTTAAATTTAAAACTATGCATTATTATAATATGTCAGCTTAGTTCATATATTAAAGGTTTAGCTCTTCTAAAAAAATTCATCATTTACACTTAAAGCTACTCCCCAACCGACATAGCGGCGGCATAGTGGTTAGTGACTATGACTACCATGACGAAGGGCCCGGGTTCAAATCCGTAAAAGGCATGGATGTTTTGTAAATGTATAGTGTCTGCGCAGCATCACACTCTATATATGTGGCGAGCCAAAAATCCTCTCCAGAGGTTGCTAGTATGGGAAGAGGATTGGCAGACCCTCTAACCCGTCACCTCGGGGTGCTCTTTATCATAAGAGGGGGCGAAATGAGCTAAATGGTGCACAAGGCTTTTGCCAACGAACGCATTTGACTCCTTGCCACGGCGAATGTCGTGGGCTTCTGCTGACCATTGTCAGACAAGTAAGATTGGTTACAAAAGCAACACTAAAGCTGCATAAAAATGAAGCATTTTCATTTGACCAATACAGTGAAAATATTCAGGCGAAATTTACACTGTTCCTGAAATCTCAATCCGTAATAAGTAATAACTAATAGAAGGTAAGCAAAAGATTTAATGGCATTTTTCTAGAAACGCAAAAACATGAAACTGATTATATATAGCGGTAATTGTTAAAAGAAAAATTCAGTTGATTTAAGAAGCAGAAAATTTGATTTTTAGTATTTTGATTCTTTTTAAATGATGTTATTTACAAAAAAGGCTGTTGTTAAAGAACCCCCTAAATGCATTTGCACAGTTGTTTTCAAAGAGATCACATATACTGTTTGGGGTCCGAATTTGTATCTAAGCCAAAGCAGATACGATGTATGATAGTTTAATTCCTGGAATGCATTTGTGAAAATATGTATTTGAAACTGCAGGTTAAAGAACACTGTCGCTTTCAAAGTAGTCAGCTTTAATGCTGATTTACGCTGTTTTTCCATTTCTGGAAATGCACTTGGAACTCAATTTCCTAGAATATCATTGAACACCTCTTTTACCTGTGTTTAGTGCATTCTTTCTCTCTCTCCCTTTCTTTGTATATAATATACATATATATCGCATATCTATTATATTAGAAAACATTTTTGCTTCTGGCACAGCTCTTAATTTTGGAAATAACCGTAAATAAGAAGAAGCTAAGTCAGGTGAATGAATGGTTATGAAAATTTTATTTTTAATTGCTTTTTTTCACTGGAAATTTCTCGCAAAGAGCAGATTGTGACTATAAGCACTATGCCAAGAATTCACAGAAAGCTTTTTCAGGCTTCAGTTACAATTAGTCCAACTGCGTTTCAAACAATCTGTAATTAATTCATTAGCTACGAATTTGATGTCTCATAATTCACTCTGTTATTCAATTTCAATGCACAACAATAACTAAATATTATTGTTTATCATTCTTGTTTGGAACGGTCTTATGCGACTTGCCACATACGTTCATTCGTGTTTCCATCTCTTATGACATTCAACATTTTCCATGTCATATTCGCTGCATGTCACTTTTAACAACTGTACATTTCTCCCAAAAAAAAAAGAAAAAAAAAAAAAAAAGAATATATGAATGGTTTCAGATTTTAAATTAGGTCCAAAGGGGCGTTTTTTTTTTACATTTCGTCTGTTACCTTTATTTATTAAATATCACGGTCTTCGCACTTAAACCGTAAAATTGAGTTCAAGAGCAATATCGCAAAATAGTTTTAAATTGAGCATATCTTTAGAATTTGCGATACACAGTTCTGCGCGCTGGAGATAAAAAGGTTTTTATCTGTATAACGTTGCCATTGCTCGCTTTGAAATACTTGAGTTTGTTGATCAAAAAATCGTTGAAGTTTTACAAAATGTGAAATCGATAATAAAAACAAATTCCAAATTTCAAATTTTATCTTTCACCAGCCCATATTCGTAGGAGGATTACGTCATTCAAATTGGATGGCTCTAGGTACTGTTGTTTTATAACGATGCGAGAAATATGCATACATTTATGCAGATTTTTCATTATTTAATTTCATCAAATATAATAATGCAGGACTTTAAAATTTGGTGGCAACAGTTTGAAAAGTGAAAGGGAAAACCAACGCAACGCAAAACCAATCAACCAACGCAAAATCGCAAAACGAAAACAATAGTCCTTCAGAGACAAAGCTCCTTTGGACTAATAATGTTTTTTTTCAAACTGTCTAAATATAAAACTGATGTTAATCCATGATTTTCTACATAGGTTCACTTCTTTTAAAACCAAAGTGTACAGGCAGGCAGGTATATGTTATTTTCAGAATATCTAAATAACCTGCCTATATAGCTGGAAATTTGTGCACGAATGAGCTCATGCATGTTCAAACATAAATATTTGCTCGATTTCAATGCCACAATCATTTTGTTATGCAACAAGCGACATTGCGACAAATATGGGAAACTAGATCGCCACACGTTTTAAGATATGACTATATTCTATTTAGTTTAAGTATGTATAATCTCGCTATATGTTTTGTTCAAATATTAAAAGGAAGATAAATTTTAAAAATTGAACTATTTGACCAACAGCTTTAGTGCATTAAATTTCAATTATTTCCTCAGAATAAAAATTGGCTTTCTCTCCCAAGCGGAATTTGTTTTTTTTTTTTTTTTTGGTAGGCATTCTTCTAATAAAAATTTCCTCGCTTGATTTTTTAACATGAAAAACAATGAGCACAAGAGCTTAGCTTGCAATGCAATAGAATTCTGTAACATTTTCTAATCAAGGGAAAGGATTTAATTGTTTTAAGTGGCAATTCGTAAAGTATAATGTTTAATTAAATTTATTCCTTTCCGAAAAATGAGTTGTACTTTTATTAAATTATCCTCTTTTGATCAAAAAAATATTGTTTGAACAATACAGAAAGTTAATTTGAAAACTTCAAAGAACTTTTCAGTTAAAAAATGTAAAAAGAGGAAAAAAATTATAAAAGAAAGAAAACCTGAAAGGATTCAGATTTTAACGTCGCATAAGAGGACTGAAAAATGTTTTTTATGCTCTCGCTGAACATCGCAGGTTACCAA